GACACTGCCAGGCGTGGAGCAGGCGAGTGCGGAGCGGGCGGGGCCGAGCCGAGGCCGCCGGGAAGCCGGGGGCGGGGTGTGGCTATTGGGGGGCTGGGTCGAGCTGCTGCGGCCGGGAGGCCGGGGGCGGGACTCGTCACCAGGTGGCGAGGGGGTCGCACGATGGGGACCGTGGGGCCTGGGGGATCCCACCTAGATGCCTCCTCCTCCTCCTCCTCTTCCTCCTACCGGCGAGGGCCTGGGAGCAGGCTCTTGGCCGCCGGGCAACCCCGGGGTCGTGGTCCCTGGTACCGAGCGCATCTAGACGCGTGTTTCATCGCGACCTTTTGCTTTGGCCGCGCTCCTGTGCCCTCGGCATCCCCATCTTCTCACCTCTTCTCGGGCGACTCTTAGCGGGGTACCCTGGGTGAGGTCACAATCCTTGAGCGGGCGTCGTCCAGGCTGCGGAGGGCAGCGCCCAGTTCTAAGAACCCTTACAACACACTTGCCGAGGACGGTGGAAGGAAGCCAGGTAGGTGGGAGGCTGTAGGGAAAAGCGCGAAGTTGAAAAGTAGAAAGAAAAAAGGCAGCCACACTGAAAGTTACAAAGACGGAAAACTTTCTGCTGAGCAGGATGCAAAAGGAGTATATAGCCTTATAACCATTTACACTTGGTATGGCCGATACACCATTGGGTCCCCAGCGCCTAGAACATGCCTAGCACGTAGTAGGCGCTCAATAAACGCCCAGTAAGTGAACGCACCACTTACTGTGGACTGGCACACTCAGTCCTCAGAAAATCTCACACTTGGCTACTCTCATTAGTCCATTTTATACATGAGTAGACTGAAGCTTGGAGAGTTGATTTGACAGCCAGAAAGTGGTACAACCAGATTTGACTGGAGGCTACTCCGGAGGCTGGGCTCTGACCACTGGGGGTACTGTGGACCCCCTGCAGGGCTGGGAGGCACTCTATAATGCAGAAACTAGGAGGAAGCGTAGGTAGATCTTCAGGGGCAGAAAGCTAACATTTGTTGTTTCAGGCCCAGAGCTACACACCGTTTGAATCATTCCTCACAGTTATCTTGTGAGGCAGATATGATTATTCGCATTTTTATCGACGACGTTAGACCTTATGCACTGCATTATGATCACATAGGTGTGTGCGTCTAAATTAAAACCTAGGGTTTTTTAGGCTCCCTTTGTCTTGGAGACTGCCCCTTACCTAAGGAACCTGGTTTCCTACCTCTTCAATTGAAGTCGGTGTCATTTTCAGAAGGACACACAGGAAGATGGATCTAGAAGTGTTGGAGAATGGTGCTCTGATTTTGGTGTCATCTCTGTGTGGACCATTGAATTCCTAAAAATGGATATAATTAGCCCTGTTACAAAAAAAAGGGGGGGGGCTTCAAAGTGAGAGCCAACACTCATTTATTTGAGATCAATAAGAATAGCTATTTGGGAAGCACTGATTCAGGCAGAAGCCCAGTGTTCTGATTAGGAGACAAAGGCAGTGGGTGTTTATGAGAAAGGCAAGGGGAACAATTCCACCAGTAGAAGACAGGCATTTCTATTGCGGCAGATAAAGGAACAGAGTGGTGTTAATTCTAAAAAATGTTTTTAATTTTCAGACTAGTAGTCATAACTGCTTCTTGTTGTCTTTGCAATCAGTTCTTTGGAACACAGTGCTGGTTTAGGCCCAGTCCAAAAGTTATTTTACCCTATTTTAACATTCCAAAGATTTGAGGCATGAGAACATGCAAGGCAGTTCCTCTGGGATGACAGGCCTGGCTCCATTTTAAAGTGGTTCTGTGTACATTATTTTGACAGCCCTCGAGTGTATGCTGCAGGTTTTAAAAGGAGGCAGTCACCCTGAAGGGGCAGGTAGAGAAGCTTCAGAGAGGGGGCACTTGGAGGCCCAGGGCATCCTCAGTGGTACAGGGACACTGAGTCCGGAGGCTACCTGCTGGGCTGGAATCCCTAGCAACTTATTTTGCCCCTCCGTGACTCCTTTCCTAAATGGGTATGAAAAATTAATGCAGCCTGTAAAGTGCTGAGCAGAGTGCCTGGCCCAGAGTAACGTTCAATAAGTCGTAGCTACTATTCTTACTGCTCTTGCAAATGACTAACATCCTCACTGTGTAAAAAAATGCCTACAAAGCATTGCAAAAGACAAGCTGGTGGAAAACGGACAAAGGTATGAAAAAGCAATTCCCAGAGGCACCAGAGTGGCCCAAAGCATGAAAAGCTCCGCAGCCACACTGATGCTGGGAGCAAGGGCCAAACACAAAAAATAGTCAAATAAAGCCAGAGTCCAGTCTGGGAAAAGCTGTCTTGGAGACCTGCCTTTAAAATCACAAAGGACCAAGTGCGGTGGAAATGCAGGATACAGTGTGAATAAACAAAGCACTAGCTCATTTCCCCTGGAGCTAGGGGTGGGGGCAGATGGCAGGACGTTTGCTGTGCATAGTTCTGAACAATACTAGCCACCGTGGTGCCATGAGCACCTTCCAACCAGCCTCGTTCTAGGAGAGGAGTTTATGGAGGTCAGAATGTTTAAAGAGAGTAGCAAAAAAAGACCTGAACACTTATCTTATGCTTTTACCACAGTAGCTTGAATTGCACTTGAGGCTGCTAAGAGCTGGGGAAATGGTGTTACATATTCAGGCGGACGTTGTTTGTGGACTGTTTTGTTTTTCGTGCTGTGGAAGGCGAGGCGGCCTCAAGACGCTGCTCCCTGGTTGAATTTATGCTTTCTCGTTGCACCCGTTTTTATTACTTACCTTTCTAAAGACAAAAGACAAGGAAAAAACATGAGCTATTCATAACATTCAATTACTCAGTAAGCATTTCTAGTGGGAACATGTACAGCGAAATCAATAACTTGGGTTTTTTTTGGTACATGTTTGTTTTAAAGGATTCAAATGATGAGAGAAGTGTGCAGAATAACAAGCAGGCATCGACCCCCAATTTCATACCCTCTCACAAGACTCCATGGTTAACAGTGTGTTATGTGTCCATCCAAAACCGTTTCCATAGCATTTATATACATGTTAGTGTGTGTGTGCACGTATGTATGATGTATGTGTGTGTATATACACATCTATACACACACATGCACAAAGAAATAAAGACTGAGTGTGTTGGGGTCTGAAATCAGGCTGCCTGGGGTTCCCTGCGAGCTCCGCTACATACTGGCTGGTGTTTTCTCATCTTAAAATGGGTGTAATAGTTGCAAGGGTTAAATGAGATAATGCATGCAGGTTGCTCAAGTGTAGTGCTGGGCACACAGGACATACGTCATTTATATATATAAGCTACTGTCATTATTATTTACACACACATACACTTATAAGTTATTCTTTGGTTCACAGAAAAGCCAACAGAAAATAGGTCCCTGTTTTTTACCAGCTATGCATAAAAATGTCTTTTTTTTCAAGTCACTGCAGTTATCAAGAGGCTCACCATATTGCCTTGAGGGAAACAGGTTGACAAGGCAGTCCAAGAACGTGAACTTCAGACGTCATGAAAGGATTTCACTGCTCCAGTCTCACGATTAGCGTGAACTCCTCTCTAATGGCGTGTATTCACTGCATAGGGAAAAGGATATTTTGGGAACCCTCCTGTGCATAGGAAATTAAAAAGCACGGGGAAATCAGAGTACCAGAGTGGGATGGGTTTGGGCTGTCAACATGGCACCTCTTATAAAAATCGGCAATAGTTTAAATCTAATTCACACCAGCTACCACCACCAAGGATTCATTCTAGAGGCTTCTCAAAATAGATACAACACTCCCAGAAATAGCAGCTCGAACAGGAGTGACTCTCCAGGGACGTATACTATCCTGAACTCTACCAAAGCTGCTAATATGTTATAGCATCCTGGTCGCCTGTAAGATACACTTCACGTTAGAAAGCAACTACTCAGAAATCTCATGTGGACCCCTCATAAAAGTATCTCTCTCTATACGGAGACATGCTCAACAAGGAAATAAAAAAAGAATGTTCCTTTGGTAAAGTGAAATCAGTAATGGCCAAAATGGCCACTTCAAGGGGAACATAGAATGAAAAGATACAAAATGCAGCTAAGGGAGCAAAGAAAGAGCAGAAGGCAACGAGGCATTTTCCCATGGACTCTGTACCAACAGAAATGAAATCGTCAGCGTGGCCCAGTGGAATTTCAAATTTGTTTCT